TATATATATATATATATATATATATATATATATATATATATAAATTAATACTTGTTATAACATATTTAGCTTTAAGCAAGTAACAGATTGTATAATAGATTGATTCACTTAACACATCACCTTACATGTACACAGCACGCTACATACACACATAAACATATGTTTGGCACTAATGGAACCTCATAAAAATATAATTTAAAATTTTTTATCATGTCTGTCTCAAATACTCCAAATAATGTAGCACACTAAATTAGGCTTCTTTATTACGATGTTTATGTACTTCATATGTTGTAGCTAACGGTTAGCTTGCTAAGCTACGTCTTTTCTTACCTTGACAGCTGTGGATATTTTCTTCATGGAAGAACTTTTATCCTTTCAAGTTTATTAGTTCGAGAATTTGCCGCTGCGATTTCCTCCTCAGCAGCGAAAGAAAAGATTGGCAAATTAAGCAAAGATGTTGAAAAGAGAGACATTTCTCCTTAGTGCAAAGACTCGCAAAGCAGGAAGTGTCGGTTTCCGGTTGTCGTGAAAAAGACGTCGCAAAAAAGTCTTCTTGTTGCAGATACAATAAATAATTCAAGCTGCCGCGCTAAAAATCATGTTAAAAATACGAGCGTTGTGTTGGACTGACCTGACTTAGCAGATTATAAGATAAAAAGGCTACAATGCCTTATGATTTTTCCGCCAAAATGCTACGTAAATCTGTGACATTTTGACTAGATATCTTGAACATCATTCTGACTAGTCAAAATGTTAATTCAAGATATCTTAAATAGAAAAGCCGTCTACATGATAAAATATTCAAGATATCTTGAATTCATTTTGAGATATCTTAAAAGTAATTTTGACTAGTCATAAGTACAGTTCTAGATATCTTTAAGTTAGTTTTGCCTAGTCGTTATTAGCTATCAAGATATCTACAATTTAATTTGCACTAGTCAAAACTTCATTTGTGATATCTACAAATACATTTAAGATATCTTGAAAAATGACGTAATTTAAGATATCTTTAATTGTAATTATGACTAGTCAGAACTAAAAGTGAGATATGTTGAAAGCAAATAATGACTAGTCAAAATTAACTTAGAGATATCTAGAACTGTATTTTTGACTAGTCAAAATTCAGTTTAAGATATCTTGAATTGAAGCCTCCATACAACTCAATGGTAAATCTGACATCATTATGACTAGTCAGAATGTAATTAGAGATATCTTAAACAAGTATTTTGACTAGTCAAAATGCAATTCAAGATATCTTAAATAACTAATATGTCTAGTCAAAACTAAGTTTCAGATATCTGGAATGTAAGCGTAGTGAATCCGATTTTATGTTAAAAGGGCTTGCCATAAGAGCTCTTAAAGGGCCAAGCCTATACAAAATAGAACGTTGGTTACGTACTGTAACCACAGACTCTATGAGTATAGGCGTAGCCCTTTAAGCGTCGGGCCTCACTGGCTCCTAAATGGCTGAAGAAAAAGCTATTTGGGAGCCGATTACCAGCTCTTAAAGTAATTTATATGGACCGGGTGGGGCCCACACAGCAGGTGGGCGTGGACTAAACTTTTCAGTGCGATGCTTTGCATGATGGGATTAAACCCACTAAGCGACAGCTCTTAAAGGGCTATGCATATACTCATAGAATCTGGGGTTACAGTATGTAACCAATGTTTAGTAGAGTGCTTTATAATTGTGTGTGTAGTAGAGGGCTGTATGAATGTGTGTATTAGAGTGCTGTATGAATGTGTGTGTAGTAGAGTGCTGTATGAATGTGCATGTTTAATAGAGTGCTGTATGAATGTGTGTGTGTAGTAGAGAGCTGTATGAATGTGTGTGTAGTAGAGGCTGTATGAATGTGTGTGTAGTAGAGTGCTATATGAATGTGTGTGTGTGTAGTAGAGAGCTGTTTGAATGTGTGTGTGTAGTAGGGGGCTGTATGAATGTGTGTATTAGACTGATGTATGAATGTGTGTGTAGTAGAGAGCTGTATGAATGTGTGTGTAGTAGAGGCTGTATGAATGTGTGTGTAGTTGACTGCTGTATGAATGTGTGTGTAGTAGAGTGCTGTTTGAATGTGTGTGTAGTTGAGTGCTGTATGAATGTGTGTATTAGACTG